AGATATATTTAATGCATATGCTGAATGAAACCCTAAATCAGGCATATGCAGCAAAATTTAGATGCTTACCTTGATATTCCCAATATCCTGTATAATTTGAGCAATAATTACTGTCTTATAAACTTGTCACTATCAACATTTTGAACTGTTGGTCCTTATACAGTGATTCTTTTCAGGGTAGCAACTCCACTATCGCTATCTAAATCTACCATCAATATAAATATCTGTAGGGTTTATGACGCTCAGTAACTTCATGGTCTACCACCTGCAAAAATCTGTCAAGATCGAGAAAGCAAAACCAACAAAAGCTGATGGGTAGGAGAAACATGCGGCCCCTGAGAGCTAATCAGTGCCTCAATGTTTATCTTTCTAGGATAATCCCTGTTGGATTTATAAATTACAGCCTCTATGCTGGTGGCTATAATCTCATTTTGGTGCGCATTCTCTTTATAGAGTTAGGATGTAACCTTAGCCTTGCCTTTCTCCTGAGGAGAGTCTTGAACTGCTGACCTTGTGATTATGAGCAACCACTCCAACACCAGGAGCCCTAGTGGCAGTGGTTAGGGATTGGGCTGCTAATTGCCAGATCATCAGTTCAAAACCATGGGCCAATCCAAGGGAGAAAAAGGCTTTCCACTACTGTAAAGAATTAGTCTCGAAAACTTACAGGGGCAGCTCTACCCTGTCCTCCAGGGTCACTATAAGTTAGAATTGACTCGATGGTAGTAAGTTTGGTTTTACATTACTAGAGGGTGTGACTTGAAAACTCATTTGCCTTAGGGGTATGGTCTACTGAAAGACAGAAACCACACCTTTTGTGACCTTCAGTCAGGAAACCTTGACTTAAGCATTGGTAGAAGACATACGTTGCCTTGCACATTTGGCTTCTAGCTCTGGACCGTGCAGTTGGCTTGCCTGGGCCTGACTTTGGGATCTTCAGTTAGCTCTATCATGTGACCTGTTTCACCAGCTTCTCCACTGTTGTGAATAAGGATACTCCAGACTGAACTTGAGATTTGGGACTCAAGCAGGTAACCAATTTACTTAGTTTTGTGAGTTGTGTGAGATACCCAAGCTGATTATAGAATGCAGGGACATGAGGGAATATATTAAAGGTAGGAATGGAGGGAAAATGGAGTGGAATATCTAGAGGAAAAAAACATTACGGACATTTTAAATCTCTACCTCCTAGGGACTCCAAAACTAACCTCAATGCTACCCAGTTGATGCTGCCAACTCATAGTGAGCCTGTAGGACAGGGTAGAACTGTCTCTAAATTTCCTAGTCTCTTTATGGGAGTAGAAAACTCTCCTGTGGTTTTTTGAACGGCTGACCTTGAGGGTCACAGCTGAACTTGTTACTACACAACCAGGGCTCTGGTCCTTGATTATAACATGTAAATGGATGAGGACCCTATTTTGTAAGACCAGGTATAAACTGAGAGCTGGGCCAAAGGCGGCATGGGGCAGTCAGTACATATTTACTAAGTACATCTATCTAACTGTACCAGGTATTAAGATCTCCAGAGTCAGCAGATTAGATATGAATCGCAAGGGTGATGGCTGCTTTAAAAGGTGTACAAACTGTTGTGAAGCATGACACAGAGGGATTATAATCTTCAAGGCAGGCCTTCTGAAAAGTGACACTGAAGTGAGACCTGAAGGATAAATTGAATTTTATTATTTTTATTTAAAGAACATAAATATTTCAGTTCTGGCTAAAGGGCCAAATCAAGGCCTTGGGCATCTTGAATTCCTTGTCTGTAGTCCTGGTTGTTGATGCTCTCATGGTGTTTTTCTCTTTCCTTCTCTGTGTATGCTATTGATCTACTTGCCTTTCTAACTCAGAAATGATTTTGGACACAGCCATGGCAGTTAGATCAAATTAACATAAAGAAAATCCTATTTCCAGCACATCATTATTTTTAAATCATTTTATTGGGGGCTTATACAATTCTTATCACAATCCATACATCCATACTTTGTGTTAAGCGCATTTGTACATTTGTTGCCATGATCATTCTCAAAATATTTGCTTTCTACTTGAGCCCTTAATATCAGCTCATTTCCCCCCTCCCTCATGAACCCTTGATAATTTTCAAATTATTATTTTGTCATATCTTCCATTGTCTGATGTCTCCCTTCACCCACTTTTTTGTTGTTCATCCCCCACGGAGGAGGTTATATGTAGATCCTTGTAATCAGTTCCCCCTTTCTACCCCACCTTCCCTCCACCCTCCAGGTCCAGCACATTATTTTTAGAGGACAATTTGATTCTTAACAAGGGGCAGTCTGTAACTGAACCCTCTGAATATTAATATCTAAAAAATTAAGTTACCTTAGAAATGTTAAATGGATATCCCCTTAGTTCTAATGTCACCTTACTATGCTTTGTTCTACCAATTTTAGTTCCCTAATTCCTTTGCCAATGTTCCTTGATTGCATAGAGGGTACTGTTTTGGGTAGCTAACTGCAAAGTCAGCAGTTTGAAACCACCAAACCTTATAGGGTTGCTATGTGTCAGAATTGACTTGATGTAAGTGGAAGCAAACCAAACACTGCTAAGTCAATTCTGACACAGCAACTGTTTGGTTTGTTTCCTTTGCCAACCCACATCCTGCAAACAGGAAATCCTAGAGGAAGGTTGGACAGAAGGGGAGAAAAAGCTTTTCTTGATTTTGCTGTTCCTGTCTGCCCCACTTCCATAGTGAAAGCTTAAAGAAAATTAGGTTACCATTCAACAATTCCTATAATTTGATTCATGACACTGATTACCATCCCCACCTAAATGGATTTTTAATGAACTGATATGTAGTAGGTAGACATTTATATAGTATTAATCAGTGGACCCTGCACATTTCCTCTATACTTAGTAGACACTTGCACAACAAATTCTCTAACAATCTGTGCATGGAGTCACACTCTAAGCTTCTACCTAATATTCCTGGAGTTTAATAAAATTTGCAGAAGCTACGAGTCAGTAAAGCCAATAATTTCAATTTTAATTGATAAAATTCTTTAAAAAATCATTTTTTGGGGGGCTCATACAGCTCTTATCACAATCCATACTTTCATCCAATGCGTCAAGCACATTTTTACATGTTTCCATCATCACTTTCAAAACATTTTCTCTCTACTTGAGCCCTTGGTATCAGCTCATTTTTCCCCTCTCTCATGAACCCTTGATAATCCACAAATTATTTTTTCATGTTAATTTCTAGGCTATGGTTCAGAGGGAAAGTTGGGTTGATGCTCCCATTTAATAAAAGAAATTATACACAAATAAATGTTCAAAGTATTTTATTTTTTTAATAACATTCAAGTTTTTAACATGCTAAATTAGATTTATTTGTAGAGGTTAACATCATTGATAATCCAAATACTAATGTTTACTATCTAGTAGTTACATTTTTCTTCGAAAGTTTCTTGCCAAACTCCTCCTCTTCCTTTTCTGTTTGTTGATTATTATCTTTTGCCTAAGGATCCCTGGTGGTGCTGTCAATTAAGCATTTGCTAATTGTAAAGTTGGAGGTTCAAACCAACAAGCTGCTCCTTTGGAAAAATAAGGTTTTCTGATTGTATAAAAATTTAGTCTTAGAAACCCACTGTCACCAAGAGTTAGAATTGACTTGTTAGCAGTAGGTTTGCTTTTCTTCTAGTTATTTTCTTTTAGTTAATTTAAAGCTTTCCAGTTTACACATCTTCCTACTCCTCACCCCTACTCCCACCAGCTTCATGATCATTTAAGTTTTATTTTTCATTTCTTTTTTTGGGGGAAGTGTAGTAAAGTTACAGGTTGAAAATAAGTAAAATGACTTGCCAGACATTTTAAGATCTTTCTGGGGTATGTATCAATGCAAAACAAAAATAACATTAAAAATGATAAAACTGACTTTCACATATGGGTCAGGTTGACTGAAAATGGGCTTCTTTCAGTCATTCAGAGTTTTGAACATTCCATGACAATGGAAGAAGTGCAAACTTTGCTTCCTAATAGCATTGTTGTTTTTCCTAATAGCATTGTTTAGACGCCTTTTGTTTTTAATACAAGCTCACATCAAAAGTTTTTTGTGACTTATGAGTCAGACTGTATGATTTGGCACCCCTAGGCTTTTACTCATACTGGATATTCCTGAATACATTAGGATTTTTAAAAGGTGTAAGTGTAACAAGCTCATCAGTGTTTAACAATCAAGTCTTGTGGCTTCAAACAAATCAAACAACTTCAGTATTCTCCTGAAATAGTCTCCCTTCTACTCCAGTGAACTCACTGCCATTGAGTCAATGCCGAATTATAGCGACTCTACAGGCACAGGGTAAGACTGACAGCTCCTGTGAGTTTCCGAGACTAACTCTTTAGGGGAGGAAAAAGCCGTCCTCCCACAGAGCGCCTGGTGGTTGACTTCGAGGATCTCGGCCGAATGCGTAACCACACGCCAAGGCTCACTTCCCCACTGGAAAAGGCAGCTACGCTAAAGCGGAGGTCGTAGCACTTAGATTTTCCTCCCAGTCGCCAAGGCCTTCGCCGTCTTCAGTCAAGATGTTTTGTCTGACCTAGTCCGAAAAAAAACCCCGCTGCTCTAACCTGTCTGCTGTGGGGTGCTGCTGGCTGAGCCACAGCCCTCTTCGAACCTAGTGGGTCACAGATCCTGGCGCGATCACAGAAGGCGCCAGGGCCGCGACAACCCGCGGCAGGCCCCATTGGTCAGCTACAGGCTGTGAGCTCTCCCACCTGGGCCCGGCCCAAAGTTCAGGAGAGGGGGGCGCTCGATTGAGCGCGAGGAAGGTCAAGCTCACCGCCAAAGGCCGTTCCAGTCGTGTTCACAGGTTAACTCAGGACAGAAGCGGCCGGCCAACCTTCTTCCGGACGTGGGACCGCCCCCTTCCCAGCATTCCACACTTCCGGTCCTGCGCGGACGCCCTGGTGCGTCGCCGGCCCACTCGCTGCTTGGCGTGCCTCTCTCCTGCGCGGCCGGTCTTTCCCGGCATGCTCCACGGAGGAAGCGCCCGAATCGACAATAACAAACCGAGCCGTGCGGCGAAGTCCGTGGCCCAGTCGAGCCTCGGCGCTGCTCCAGGGTCCCCCAACTGTCCGGGCCCCTCGGCTCTGCCCGGCTCCAGCCCCCGCGCCCGCCTCAGAGCCGGGGGGCCTGATCGCGTCCTCGCCCGCTCGGCCCCTCCCGTTTGCTCGCCGCCGCCGAGTGCTGGGACGCCAAGGGTTGTGTCAGTTTTGCAGAGTCGTATGGGCGGTTGGTAGCCGCCTCTGAGGCCGAGGCGGCGGCGGAAGATGGTGCCGGAGGCCTCGGGCTCTGCTTTTGCAGCCCCCGGCGGAGGAGGAGGCGTTGCCGGGTGAGTGCCGCTGGCCCCCGGCCCCTTGGCCCATCTGGGTAACGCGACCAGCGGCGAGCTGGTCAGAGGGTGCCGGCTCTGTCGCAACCTCCCTACCCCAGTCCACGGCAGCCGTGTGCGACCGCCCTGCTCGATGGCGAGCGTTCGCGTGGACTCGATGGATTCCTCTGGCTTCGGGGAGCGTCCTCCGAAGGCCTCGGGTCCCTCCCAGGGCAGCCGCCTGTCAAGCTTCAGAAGAGAGCGAGGCACGCCCGGATTCCCGGGACTCACCCTGCCCTCCCTCTTAGCACAAGGGCTCAATCCTCCTGGGTTTAGGCATTGGAAACCGGAGAGTGGAGTTGGCCGAGGCAGAGCAAAGCGCTAGGGGTGGTAGGAACCGGGAGACAGGTTCTTTTCCGCGACCCAGGAGTGTGATGTTCGGTATAAAGTTACTTCTAGGAATGACTCAGCCTCTCCCCGCCCTACTGATAGATTTGGGATGGGGTGTGGGTGCACCTTTCACAACTTCCTTGGTAAGCAAAATAAATAGCTTCCAAGCAGGAATTATCTGTTCCCCCAGCTGGTCGATGTGCTTTGTTTACTGTTTAGTTTCTCGTCTTTAGCCGACCTGACTCCTTAAAGTGCTCATACTGTGAAGGCCTATGTGCTAAGGAAGACTAGCGTGCACACTGTTTATAGAGTCACGTTACTACAAAACACTCAGCTGGTTGGCAATGTTCTCGCGTTTACTATACATAGAACAGTGATTTGGCCCTCATGAAATGTTCCATTCTTTTTTCTTTTGCGTTTATTTTCATATATTTTGTTGTGACAAATATACACAGCAGAGCAGACCAATTCAACTGTTTTTACATGGACAATTCAGTGACATTAATTACATTCTTAAAGTTGTGCAACCATTCTCGCCCTCCTGTAAGAGTTGTGAAATGTGCCTGTTTTGCTAACTTTGTATCCTGTAGTTTCTAAGTTGTGAGAACTATGCAAGTGTAATTGTGAAGGATTAAAAGTTTGGAAACTGTTCAGTATTAAGGAGGAGGCTACCTTTAAACTGACTTAAATGAGTGCTTGATCAGAAATACTCCTAGATTTGTGTGTATCCTAGAGCCCTTCCAACTCTGGTTCGAAATTGATGGTGAGACGCCAAGGGATCACCGGGAAAGATGTTGCTGTTTTTATTTAAATTATTTGATATCTTATGTACACCATGACTGGAAGTTTGGAAATATTTTTGTTTCTAGTGTGCCGGAATATGCTCTGAACATACTTGTATCATTTCTCTCAGGTTTTCCTGTTGGTGGTCACAATTGGATTTAAGCCTAGGCAATAATAGAGCTATAGGGTTGCTATGATTCTGCATCGACTGATGGCACATGAGTTTGGAGTTTGTTTAATAGAGCTGGGAGTTTTAGGCACATGTTTTTGTTGATCGCTCCTGAATGGAAGTTGTATTTATATAGACGGCTTTGTTGAAACAACTTGTATACTACACAGTTCACTCATTTAAAGGGTACAATTCAATATCTTTAGTATATTCACACATAGGTACAACCAACACTTTTACCACCTTGAAAGAAATCTCATAGCCTTAGATCACCTCATCTCTAAAGGAACCATTAATCACTTTCTATCCTTATTGATTTTCCTGTTTTAGACATTTGATGTGACTAGTATGAAGCATATGGTCTTCTAACTGGTATCTAGCATAGTGGTTTCACAGTTTATTCATATTGTAACATGTAAGCCCTTCATTACTTTTTGTTACTGAATAATACTTATTTGTATAAAACCACCCCCCCAAAGATCAAACTCACTGCAATCGAGTTGATTCCAACACATAGCAAACCTTTATAGGTTTTCTGAAACTATAAATCTTTATGGGTGCAGACAACCTCACTTTTTCCCCTTGAAGCGGTTGGTAGATTTGAACCATTAACCTTGAAGTTAATAATCCATTCCTTACCTGACAGTGCCACCAGGCTCCAGTCCATTGTGTAGCTATATAATATATATATATATTATATGTTTATGTATTGGTCAGATGATGGGTACCTGGATTATTTCCACATTTAGGCTATTATGACCCTTTGTGAGTCATAACAGTGCTCTGTAGGATTCCAGTGACTCATAGGAAGTAGATCACCAGGCCTTTCTTCTCAGGTTTTGAAATATTTTTGCTTTTAGTGTACCAGAAAATGCTCTGACTTGAACCTACCAAGCATTTGGTAAACTGAAAAGGCACTAGCCTTCTGTTAAAAATGGGTTTGTATCCCTTAACTTGAGTGGAATGGCTGGAATGATGGCTATGTTTAACCAGCAGAGGACCTGGCAAACTGTTTGCCAAAGACAGCACTATTTTTTCTTTCTAAATTTTGATGAGAAAACACACAGCAAAACAAGCAATTCAGTGGTTTCCACAGGTACAGTTTAGGGACATTTATTACGCTCTTCATGTTATGCAGCTATTCTCAACTGTTCCTCATTGACATAAACTCTAAACCGTAATTTTTCAAGTTGTCATCTTCCCTCCATTTAGGTAAATCCTCACGGGAAAAATCCTTGACCATGCTGCTCAAGGCATTTAAAAAAAAATCATTTTATTGGAGGTTCTTACAGCTCTTATAACAATCCATACATCAATTATATCAAGCACATTTGTGTATCAGCTCCTCTTTCCCGTACCCCCCTCCCCCTACCTCATGCCCTTGATAATTTATAAATTATTTTACACCATCTGCTGTCTCCCTTCACCCATGTTTCTGTTGTTCGACCCCTAAGGCGGTGGCAGAAGGTGATGGTAGTGTGATTGTATGTTGATCATTGCGATCGGTTCCCCCTTTCTTCCCCTTCTCCCACTTTCCCCCTACCCTCGTGGTATCAATACTCTCCTTATTGGTCCTCAGGGGTTTATCTGTCCTGTCTTAATCTCTACTAGTGTACATGCACTGGTCTAGCCAGATTTGTAAGGTTAAATTGGGGTCATGATAGGTGGTGGTGGGTGGGCAGGGCAGAGAGAAGCATTAAAGAACGAGAGGGATGTTGTGTTTCATCAGTGCTATATTGCACCCTGGCTGGTTTGTCCCTTCATTGTGACCCCAGGGGATGTCCACCTGTCTATAGATGGGCTTTGGGTCTGCATTCCTACTACCCTATTTTGCATTGAAACGGTTGTTTATTTTGGATCTTCTGATGCTTTGTGGTCAAACGGGTTGGTGTGCTTCTAAGTGGACTTTGTTGCTTCCCTGCTAGATGGACACTTGTTTAACTTCAATCCTTTAAGACCCAATATGCTATACCTTGTAATAGCAGGGCACCATGCGCATCCTTCACCACATTAGCTAATGCACCCATTTTGTCAGTGATTTTGTCAGGAAGGTGAACATCACAGAAAGTCTGGCTATTAGAACAGTGTTGAGTAGAAAGAAGCCCAATGTCCATCAATGCAGACATTTTTTACTAGTTACGTGAAATGATTAGTTTTAAGATGACTTCAGGGGATTTCATTTAAAGTTTTAAGTATTATATCAGGGCAGTAGTTTAAGGGATTCATCTAGACTCTGGCTTATGAAAGCCCACAGTTAATGAGAATATGCAAATCTGCTCCACATTTCCCTCCTCTTGTTCAGGATTCTTCTATGGAATCTGATAAAAAATGCTTGGTAATGGTAGTTGGACACTGCATTTCTTCTGATCTGGCAAAGGTGGCAGTTCTTCGAAGAGATTACTAGCCATTTCCTATTCCCATATCTGCATCTCCTTTGCCGGTTTATTTGCCTTGGAAGCCTGCATACCAAGCTTTAAGACACCAATCAGACACTAAACCATGAACGAGGAGGTGTAGAACAGAAGCACCGAGAACAGTTTATTTGATAAGTCAATCCAAATTTCATGGGATAACCTCCAATGAACTGTTGGTTGTGCTACGCAGTCTGAGCAGCTACTCTTTTATTTGTGTATGTGTACAAATTATATGGCTCACATAACTGGTCTCTGTTTAACCTCTCATTTCCCCGGCCTACCATTTATTGATAGCAGTTGTAGTAATCAGATGTGCAGCCCTGTCTTTCATTAATGTGACTTTTTCTTCACCTGCCCGTCCCTTGTAAGTTCTAAAATATGTTGCTTTGTATATATTGGCCCTTTCATATAAGTGAGACCATGCAACAGTTGTCCTTTTGTTTTGTTGTCCTTTTGTGATAGACTTACTTCAATCAGAATATCTACGGTAGTATGTATCAAGATTTTATTTTTATTGTTTATTTTTAAATTATTTTATTAGGGGCTCATACAACTCTTATCACATTCCATACATACATCAATTGTGTAAAGCACATTTGTACATTCATTGCCCTCATCATTCTCAAAATATTTCCTCTTCACTTAAGCCCCCGGCATTAGGTCCTCATTCCCCCCTCCTCTCCGCTCCACCCTCCCTTATGAGCCCTTGATAATTTATAAATTGTTATTTTGTCATATCTTGCCCTGTCTGACGTCTCCCTTCACTCACTTTTCTGTTGTCTGTCCCCCAGGGAGGAGGTCACATATAGTTCCTTGTAATCGGTTCCCTCTTTCCTACCCACTCTCCCTCTACCCTCCCAGTATCGCCACTCACACCACTGGTCCTGTAGGGATCATCCGCCCTGGATTCCCTGGATTTCCAGTTCCTATCTGTACCAGTGTACATCCTCTGGTCTAGTAACTAATATGCTATTATATGTATACATTACATTTTGTTTATCCATTCATGTGTAGATAAATGGGTATTTAAGCTCTTTCACCCTTTGGCTGTGGTGCTACAAATGATCATTGGTGTATGGTTTTAAGACTTTGATTTCATCTCTTCTGAGTTTATATCTAGGAGTGGAACATGATGGCTTATATGGTTCCATGTTTTTTTTCTCTATGTTTTGTTTTTTGAGGAACTGTCACATTGTTTGCAACAAAGACTTTCCCATTTTACAACCCATTGGCAATCGATTTTGTGCTCAAACTTTTCCCTTTTATTGACTGTGTTTGTAAATTTCTATTTTTTCCCCTTTATTCTTTGCCACCTTTGTGTGTGAAATGGTATCTCATTGTGTCTTGATTTGCTTCTCTCTGATAACTAATTATGCTGAGCATTTTTTCACATCTGTGGCCAATTGAATATTGTCTTGGGTAAAATGTATACTTGAGTTCTTTGCCTATTTTATTATTGGTTTATTTGCCTTTTTTGTTATTAAGCTTAAGTATGTGTATACGTATACCTATTTATATAAAGTATGTTATTAGAGTCATACTATGTATATGGTTTACAAAGATTTTCTTTTTTTTTTCAAAGATTTTCTTACAGTCTGCAGCATGTCTTGTCATTTTTTGTTGGTTTTGGTGAACAATAGTTTTAACTTTTTATTAGACCTTATTTACTTTTTACTGTGCTTTTGCTGTTACTGTGTTAGATAACCCATTGTTCAAAGCACTTTAAAAGTAGTTTTCTTGGTGGTCTATTTTGACTCTTGAATATTAGTTAGGATTATTTATAGACCTAGTCATTTGTATAATGTTATTAGATAGCAAGGAATGCAAGAAGCATTACGCTTGCACTGGCTCATGCTAACAAACAAAAGGTCAGAATGCATGGCATATTGACTTTTAGCAAACCAAATTTATAAAGTTCAAAAGGGCAAAAATCCCTAAGATTTTAGCTGTTAAAGAGCCACAAATTTGAACCTTAATATCAACTATTTAATTTTGATAGGAACTTATATTTGGCCTATAAATTTGAAATGATCTTAATGTTTTATTCAGGTATTCACAGAAAATGTTTGAGTACTTTTTAAAAAAAATCATTTTATTGGGGGCTCATACAACTGTTATCACAATCCATACATACATCAGTTGTGTAAAGCACATTTGTACATTCGTTGCTCTCATCATTCTCAAAACATTTGCTCTCCACTTAATCCCCTGGCATCAGCTCCTCATTTTCCCCCTCTCTCTTCACTCTCCCCTCCCTCATGAACCCTTGATAATTTATAAATTATTGTTTTCATTTATTTTTATTTTACACCGTCAGCTGTCGTTGTCTCCCTTCACCCACTTTTCTGTTGTCCGTCCCCCAGGGAGGAGATTATATGTAGATCCCTGTAATTGGTTTCCCCTTTCCACCCCACCCTCCCTCCACTGTTTGAGTACTTATTATAGATGTGTATGACATTTGTTTTAAAAAAAATTAGTAAAATTTTCTAATTTATGGGATGGTATTCTCTAACCCAAATTACTTTTTCTTTTCTCAATAGAAAGAATTCTGGCCCAAGAAACTTAACGTAAGACTCTCAGTACCCTTTTGAAGACAAGTACTTGCTTAACTCATTATTTACAGAGCTTTAAAACAGTTACTGTGAGTAAAAAGACTATCAAGGATTTGTTCTTCTAAAAGAAAGAAAATTGAGCCGTGTGTATAAATATAAATGTAATTATAATATGGGAATTGGAAATTACCATGTAGAGTTCATATAGGTGTCTGGATATTTCGGAGCTGTGGGAAGAAAAAGCATGAGTAGACACATAAATATGAGAATGTAAAATATTTCAGCAAACTCATTTTACTAGCTGTGTCATGGATAAACCATTGCACCTCTAAAACTGTACCAGCCTCCCTCACAGGAGCCCTGGTTGCTCAGTGAACGATGGGCTTCTAACTGTAAAGTCTATGGTTCTGAGTCTATGAGGTGTACCATGGGAGAAAGATGAGACTTTCTGTAAAAACGTACAGTTGAGGAAACCCTAGGGGAACTGCTATATTCTGTCCTACAGGAGAGCTCTGAATTGGAATCAACTTTGACAGTGGGCTTGCTTGTTTTTTTTTTAAAACCTTGTCAAAGGGTTTTTGACAAGTATGTGCCAACAACTAAACCCACTACCTTGGAGTCAAAGCCGAGTCATGGCATCCCCATAGGACAGGGTAGAACCCATGGCCCCTGTGAGTTTCTGCGATTAACTCTTTGTGGGGATAGAAACCCTAGTCTTTCTCCCATGAAGTGGCTGGTGGTTTTGAACTGCTAACCTTTTAGATAGCAGTCCAATGATTAACCCTTGCACCACCAGTGCTCCTGGACAAGTTTGTAGTGTATATTTTGTATGCTTGGTATTACTCTAGATGTTTTTGGGGTTCTCCAGTGAACTAACCACATCAAAATCCTGTGCATCATGCAAGGTAAAATATCAATGTGTTAAGAGTCTGGTAGATACGTGCTAAAGAGAGACAATGAAGCTAAGAATAGGGCATAAAGTATCAGGGCTTCGGTAGTTGAACTTTCAGATAAGGTGCCCAGGGAAGATTTCATTGATTGGTGGGGACTTTTGAATAATGACTCAAAGGAAGTGAGGGAGCTGGGTATGTGACTATCTGGGAAAAAAGTTCTTAGCAGGAAGAATAGTGAACCTGAAGGTTCTGTACTACTTAAGTTAAGCTTACCTTCTGTCCCATTCAGGAGTTCTTAATTAAAGGATGAACATTGTGCACTGTTTCCAATTTTGTAGTTATTGTTAATTGATTCAGACTATCTACATATTTTCCCTACACAATTCATGTGTAACAATTCATCATTGTTTAGGATATCTGACTTGCAATCGTAAATCAATTGTTGGGAACCATTGAGTAGATTTGAGCTCAGCAACCCTGTTATATATATCGTAAAACTACCCTGGGCTTGTTTCTAGAGTAAAGTTTCTAGCCAGATATTTTTCCTTAGAGGCTGCTAGGTGCGTTTGAATTGCAAACCTACCTTATAGTTTATAGCTGAACACCTAAATGATGTGCTAGCAGGGCTCCTAATCAGATTGTCACTATACTATATTTCCACGTTCTTGTAATAAATGGTGGCATCATGTGTTACAAATTGGACTGCTAACCACCAGGTCAGCATTTGGAACCCACTAGTTGACACTACAGGAGACAGATGAGGCCTTCTGTTTTCATAACAATGTACAGCCTGGACAACCGGGGGAGGGACAGTTCTTTTGTTTTATGTGATCAGAATTGACTTGATGGCAGCGAGTTTGGTATTCCTTAGATAGGCCATTCGGATAGCTGGTTTCATTATTTTTTAGCTAATAAAACAAGAATAGAAAATGTTTGCTATAGATTTAATCATATAAATGTTAATAATTTTTTAAAAACAAATAATTCTAGGTACCATAATTGTTCTCTATGCTTCAGGAGGTTTCTTTGAGGACTAAGGTGCTCCTGACCCAAGCCATGGTATTTTCAGTTGCCTCATATGCTTGTGAAAACTGAGCAATAAACAAAGAAGACTGAAGTAGAATCAACGCATTTGAATTATCGTGCTTTGCTGGAAAAGAATGTTGAAAGTATAGTGGATCGCCAGAAGAGCGTACAAATCTGTCTTGGAAGAAGTACAGCCCAGAATACTCCTTAGAGACAAGATGGCAAGACTTCATCTCACGTACTTTGGACATGTTAGGAGAAAGCCGTCCCTGGAAAAGGACCTAATTTTTGATAAAATATACCGCCAACAAAGATGACTGACACAGTGGCTGTGACAGGGGCTCAAACATAAGAAGCATTGTGAGGGCGGCACAAGACCGGGCAGTGTTCTGTTGCATGTAGGGTGGCTATGAGTTGGAACTGACTCGATGGCACCTCAACTATCATTGTCCTGGAACAACAGTGAATAGGAGCGTTAAGAATAGGAAGAGGGGAAAAAAAAAAAAAGAAAAGGAAGAGGGAAAAAAAAATAGGAAGGGAAATGAAACGGCAGACTAATTCCTAATTGCTTCCATGCATAACTAACTGCCTCTTATGCCATGATCTTAAGGGAGAGGATGCAGAAGAGAATGCAAAATTATCATGGAATTGAAAAGTCCTGGACCATGAAGAATGGATGAGTGAACTGACACTCTTTCCCTGACATAGTCTTTAAATCTTAAACAAAAATATTTCCTGGTTTCTTCTTAAAACCTAACAGCACTTTGAAATAACTAATAATGTTTTCTTGAGCATTCTACTCTTCAAAATATCTACTTATGTAGAATCAAATTGAAAACAACAACTCAAAGATTAGCTAGGAAACTAAAGAGGCAGTGGTTTTATGTTAATGGAGGAGACACAGTTCAAATAGGAAGTTGTGAAAAGACGTGCAACTAATTGATGAATGTTTTCTTAAATATATTCTCAATATTAGTAATGCTTTAAAAATTCTGATAAATATACACAAATGTTTTGTGAAAAATAAAGCATTACCCTATCAGATCACAAAATAGGGGATGATTATACTATATCACTGATAGATTACATTGTGGTAGTTACATAAATCTGTCATCAGTTTAAGACTCTTATGAGTGAAAGGTTGGAGCTTAGCTTGTCAATCAGGTCACAGCTTGATGTCCTCATTTGGAGGCGCCAAGCAGATAAATAGCTAGCTGAAGGAGGGACACACGCTTACTCCCTGCGAGACATTCCTGTTGAGAAGACACATGGAACTATGCTAGAGCCCTTGAACTGAAGGAGCCACGTGGAGACCCCTGCCAGTGCTGAGATACTTCCACTGCCACTGAATCCACAAGACTTTCCACCCACTGGCCTGTGGTCTTCCTGCAGTCAGTATCATTGCATGTGTTGTGAGTCTGAAGAGGACTTTATAGATTGGTATCGGACATATGGGCTAATATTGGACTTATGGACTTGATCTGGACTGAGCTGGGATGTTTTCTCAATATTCAATTGCTCTTGTATATAAAACTCTTTCTTATCCATATGAGTGTCTATGAATTTGTTTCTCTAGTCTAACACATACATGCCAAACCTCTTGATATTAATAGCCCAGCCAAGTTAACATGTAACCTTATGTATCAAAGCCAGTGTTATTCTCATCTCATTCCTCGACATGCATTACTGTCAGATGTATGTCTTTAATATGTAAAGTAGTCAGATAGTAGCCATTTTACTGTTCTTATAAATGTACTTGTCAGATAGCAAGATGGGTGATGCGTGAAGAGTATGTACATTTGGTGTACTTTGAAGGTAGTGTAGTTATTTTGTGGTAGGCTTGACCATACTCATCAGCAGTTCTTTTACAGCTTTGTTATGATAACATACTCCATAGCCTCTACATATTGGGATAATGGAATCCCCCCCCCCTGCCCCCCAAACTTGAAGCTCCCTTCCCCCCTTACTTTTAAATTGCAAAGGACAACACAATATTTATGATGTGAATGAGGACAATTATTCAAAACGACAAGAGGTAAAATGTAAAGATATCATGGCAAAAGCAGCATTTTTTCCTCTCGCCATTTATTTGTTGATATTTCGGTTTCAGATTTCTTTAAATGATGTATCACCTGTTCACTCATTGCCATCACTCTGACTTGGACTTATGGCGACACCATAGGGCAAATAAGAACAATCTCTGGGTTTCTAAGAGAGTAACTGTATGGAGGTAAAAGCCTTGTCGTTTTCACTTGGAGTGGCTCACAGCTGACATTGTGGTTAGCAGCCGAATCGGTAACCATCATAACACCAGGGCTCCTGAAATACTTTCTAGGTTACTTAAAAATGTAGTACAATATAAAAGCCTTCTTTGCCTTTGAAAAATTTCTCACACTACTTGATTGCTCTTCCCATCACTGATATTTTCCATCTGATATTGGTTGAATTCATTGGTTTGGCACCTGCAGATAAGGAGGGCCAGTTGTATACAAACTTTTGCTTCAGGCACAGTGTGAGGAAGATTGGGATCAGTTGGAAATACATGTGATTTAGAAAGACCATGTTTCAGCCCTGGGGCAGTTTAAACACTCCATTTATGGTGAAGATTGCTGTCATCGATGCAACAGCCAATGACTTCTCAGATAGAATGGCCAAGAATTGTAATCAGTAGAATTGCAAATCAGGCAGTATTTCCCTAATTTTGTTTTTGTTTTGTGAAGCCTTTTATCTATCATAACTATGTCATCCAAATTTCTTGAAGACAAGATGCTCAGGATTCTTGTTAGATGCACAATAGATGTTGTTGGTATAATGAATGAATAATGTGTTCTGTTTTTGAAGTCAGAAAATGTCACTTAATGTTTCTTCCATATAAGTTGGCTAAATCTGAGCTTTAATAATAAGGATGGAATGACATCTAATCATTAAGGCAGTCTTAGAAGAAATTTATATAAATTAATCTTAAGTGAATAAAAGGGATTTCTAGTTTTCCCCAGTGAAAGTACAAGTTTACCCATATACAACAATAATTCTAAAAACATACTTTTCCTTAGTAACTGCTCCTCCTCCCCCTACAATCTAACCTGAAAGCAGACA